TAGACCGTCGGATATCTGTTATAGAGATATTACAAAGATAAACAAATGAATTGGTTAAACATTGGCAATGGGTATTGGAGAGTATTCCTACAATTACTCTGGCCAGTAGCATTAACAGTATTCTCCTTGGAACTTTTATTGTGATACCGATTATTAAATTGATTTTACCTGGATTCTATCCTCTTGGAAATATTTTTTATACAAATATATATGTATATGTATGTATGTATATATATTTATATATTTTAGATATATGATTGCATATGTATGTGTATATTTACCACTAAAAATATATTGGAGAAAACTAATGTAATCTAAATAAAATATTATATGAACATAAGAGAGACATTCTCCAAAATAATGCATCAAATGCATTGATTGCCCTCCGTAAATTGGTGACCACTATTTTAACTTAAATAATGCTACTCTGATCAAAGGAGAAATTAAGTCACTACGATGTAAATGTATTAAGTGTGCCTTAATTGCAAGGTCGTGTACAGTAAATTTGCGCCCCGTTTCTTGTAATATTTTAACATTCCTTTAAAGAAAAAGACTCTCAATATATTCGCCTGATTCCAAAAAAAAAAATAAAATAAAATAAACAAATAAAAGTCCTAGTATCACTATGACGTTCGCATGTGTAGTTCCACCAACATAACAAATTTAGTCAAATGAATGATAGGATGGAACGCGTTATAGGTAAACTTATTTGGCATAATCATACAATTTTCCCAATACTGTTCCTGATATATAAAATATATATCGTTATCTATATTGCTGCAGCATTTAATTAGACTATGTGTGTTTACTTTTTCTTTTCTTTTTCTCTGACAAATTTAAACTTCACTTTTCAAGGAAAACAATAAGTTAATCTATTTACTTTTCCCGATTGGATCCAATTGAATTCATCTGCATTCTGCGCAAATGCACCACTTATGCAAATGGAACAGCATCAAATGGGACAGCATCAAATGGGACAGCATCAAATTTAAATATCTAGAACATTCAACAAAGATATTTTCTAACAGCGATTCATAAATGGTGATAATGTTGTGTTCAAGCGAAGTGCATCAATTTGGTGAATTTTCTGCAAAATCTTAGATGGTATGAGAACACCTATTGTAGTAACATTAATTCAAGACACAATAGTTATATACTTCATCCTGTACGCCTAGAGATATGTCTTAGACAGTTTTTCTTTCCTCGCCAGAATCTATCTTACATATTTATATGTCTATCAAACGTCCTTGCTTCGAATGTTGTTGCCGCACATCGTCTGATGCTTATGCTATATATTTACAGATTCTTGATGAAATCCAAAGAAGAATCTGCAATTTTATTTATCCTGGATTGGCATTTCGGCTTCAGTCACATTCCCACCGCCGTAATGTAGCTTCCCTGTGCTTTTCCTATAAATTCTTTCATGGCAATTGTTCCGATTAAATTTTCTTCAACGGAACCTAGGCCTTATGAATTTAGGCGCAGTAGTAGATTGATACCAAGGTCTCATCATTTTACATTGCATATGACTAGATGTAACCGTAAATTCTGCACTAACATTTTTTTATTTATTTATATTATTTACATTGTTCAGATAGTTGTCCTTATCTTTGTTTCCATATTCACAACGTTTCGGCCATTGTACGCACCAGCCTTCTTCAAGTGATTGGAATTTTGAACTGAACATTTTATTTCGTTTTGTGGTGTACGTTGTTCTACTTCCACGTGTCAAGCCTCTTCCGGATGCCTCAGTATCAGTTATCTCCGGATTTTTGTCCACCTCAGCTATACCCAGGTATTGAACTGACAATTCTTTGAGTCAAGTCACTGGATTCAACTAACATTTTATCCAATGAGCCATGTAGATAAAGCGTTAGTTGAGTCTAGCCAGTCGTTATATTTTGCCTTCTTAAATTCTTGTTCTTTTGCCGTTCCTTCTCCGTAATAGTATTTTTCTTATATTCAGTAACACCCATTGAGCATTAGTTGCTTAGCTTTAAAATATAGAGACAGGCTCATTATACAAAGGTGTAGTTTGAAATCGGCAAATAAATATTGGAAAGACTATTGAAATGTGTATAAATTATTCAAGAAAGAAAACGTTCAAAAGGATTTCGATAAACAGAATAAAGTGAGAAAAAAAATATTTCTGATATTTATCTCGACATCGATTTTTTTTTTCTTCTTAAAGAAGGAGCATGTCAGAAAACGCTGACATTTATTTTAAATGAAATACGAAAGTGTTCATCAAATCACAATTTATTTATTTCATTTCTGGTCGAAAATAAACATTTCACATCGGTTGAAAGATTAACTGATGTGGATGCATTTAAAATACTTGCAGCTTGAGTCAATTTCAATATTTGACAATTTTTCCTCGAGAAAAATAGATCCTCTTTGTGTCGACAGATGCTAACCTGTTTTACTCCATGGAATGCAGTTATTTTAAATAGTGAAAACTTGTTTGATCGTAATTCCATTTTTGTTCATTTTAGAACGTTCAGAGATTGCATCCATTTATTTCTCTTAATTCTAATTTCATTCAGGTGTCAACAAGAATTGACGATTTATTCTCACGCAGACAATATTATGTTATTTTTCGTGCGAATACATTCATTTGTGCCTAGTATATACGCACGTTGTTTTGATTAGTTTCTGGTCGCGAATAAGCTGTGGATATGTTAAAGTTATATTGTTCAGAGCTTTATCAGAATGACAGTGTTAGGCTCACATTACATCTGGGGAAATTTAATCAACACCTATCAGTCGCCAATTTTAAAGTTAACACAACATTGACCAGGACGAACATTCTGATGGCTTGCATTATTTATTTGGATTTAATTGTTACAAACAGAATATTCTTCATTTAGCCTGTGATTCACTCATAGAAGATGAATTAACTTGATAATACCATTTGAATTATACACAGACACACACATGCACATACACTCACTCACCCCTATATATATATATATATATATATATATATTATGGAAATAAAAATGGCAAGACGTGCTTTACCATTCATGATTAAAATGAAAATAGGAAGAAAAAAATGATCAGCCGACCGGTTTCTCCCTCACTCAACGGAGCTGAAATCAAGGGAAGTCTTAATATTACAATATAAAATATAAAAACATGCGAAGCATGTGAGAAAATAAAGGTGGAAAGATCAAAAAAAGGCAAGTGACAAAACTACTTATAAAATTTTAGCTTGTAGAAAATATGAAGAAAGAGAAAAAGTCGTTAGCGATTAGTTTACATATTTTTTATAATATTGTGGATGTGTAGAGGGAAATTTTCTTTAGACTTTTTCAGTTGGTTTCTCAGTATATTGTGGTATTTCAAGATAGGTATGCTGGTGTATAATGACTTCGTGCCTAGGCTCGCCATGACCATGTTTTACATATTTACGTTTCGTATTCTCTGGATTAGGTCACCAGTGTGTGTTATATGTATTGTGTTAATGATTCACAGTAACGGAGTTAGGACTCTGTCAATAGCTCTAGCTAATTTGCTAGGGACACTGTTGATTCCAGGCATAATGGATCTGATGAATATGTTGGGTTTGTGTGCCGTGCTTATATAGTAAAGTGAATAAATCGGTTCGTATATAATCCAAGTTTAATTCATATATATATATATATATATATATATATATATATATATATATATATATAAATAATTATTTATTTAAAAAATTACAAAATAAATATGTTATAAAATCACTACAAAAATAGCTATTTTATTTCAACACCTCCTGGCTATTTTTTGTAGTGATTTTATAACATATTTATGTTTTAATTTTAAATAAATATTTATATCCGCTCTACTCTTTATTGAGCAATCTTTTAACAATAGTAATTGTTGATTATTGGAATTTATTCCGTATACACCAATCATACACACGCACACACAGATATATATATATATATATATATATATATATATATATATATATATATATATATATATATATATATATATATATACCGCACATTGGGTGTTGGTGTTAATAAAAATAGTGCTCCATATAATATAAGAGAGATTTACATTATAAGATATAATACGTATTTTTCCTCAACGGTAGAGCGAATCAGAGCTTCATGCACAACGCAATCTTCAGTTGCTGAATTGAGACAATTTGACAAATGTAGCTCTCAATTCAACAACTTAAGTTTGCGTTGTGCATGAAACTCATAGTCGTTCTACTGATGAATACAAATGCATATATATATGTGTGTGTGTGTGTGTATTTTATATATATATATATTATTATATTATTTATATATATATATATATATATATATATATATATATATATATATATATGTGTGTGTGTGTGAGTGTGTATGTTTGCATGTGTTTGTGTGAGAGCAAAACATTAAGAGTGAGAGAATTCAAAACTAGTTCCATATCCAAAGCAATATATGACATAGAAACTTAAAATATTACGTGGGGATCTATTTCATGAAAGCAGAAATTGTGATTTATTTATCTTCGTTCGTTATATAAGACAAAACCATGTTCCACACACACTAGTAGTAAGTTACTAGGTTGAAATCCATCGAAAAGTGGAGAAGTGACAAGAACAGAAAAATGAAACGAGGACAATGTTGCTGAGTTTTATGTGTCAGTCGCGTTCACGAATAAATTGTAAATGATTGAGAAATTGTAATGATTTCTTTGAATTTTGTATTTTAAAAATATTTTATATGATATTCATTGTTTGCTTTCAAATCTTTATTCTTTCGTTACATCTTCCAAATTTCAATAAGTTTTATTTCCTTGCGCGCTGTACACTTGGTATGGAATTTAAAATCCGTCACGCGTCGCCTTCCTAACTATAATTGCTTTCGAACGAAATCGAATGAGGAATTCATCTTGCAGCTGAAATTTCCAATTGTCTTCAGAATATGGCTTCGTGTTTTGCTGAAATCTTTACTTTTGAATATACTTCAATAGTGCCTAAATTTCTTAATTTTGTAATTTTCTTTTAGTGCGATGTCCTTTCCTAATTTTCTCTCTTACTCTCACCGACATGTCTTCGTTTCGATTTCACTGTCTCGTATGTTGTAATTTTGAAAAATATCTGTTTCTTTTTTGTAATTGCAATATTTGTCATTTTTTATCATTACAGTCTGGCTTTTTCCAGAGCTATTCTCTTTTATTAAATGTTTAATTATTAATATGACATATTTTTTTCTTCTTATTTCCTCCCCCTATTTCATGATTCCATGCCAGTATATCTACGTCTCTCTCTGTCTCTCTGTCTGTCTGTCTCTCTCTATATATGTGTGTGTGTTTTTGTGTGTGCCTTTGATATATATATATATATATATATATATATATATATATATATATATATATAATATAAACAAGTGTTTATAAATTTCATAGCCATTCCTTAATAAAGAATCATTTAAACATCAAACAGCGCTGTCTAAATATTATTTAGGTATTATGAATAATGGCTCTATCCCTCAAATGCAATGGAGAATCATATGCATGTTTCGGACCGCAAGAAAACAAATGCGATCTCTGCACTAAGAAGAAAATCTTCACAATTAAATATAATAGACCTGGGGAATTGCTAAACCGTCGCAATGAGAACATATTCAAATGCAGACACAAACCTCCAAAAAAGTCACAAAATACACTATTGCATTATTTCCTTCTTAGTTAACTATTTTTATATATGTTTTTATTTTACCTTTATTTGAGTCAATCTTATCAAACTCATATTATTATTATTATTATTATTATTATTATTATTATTATTTTATTTATTTTATTCCTTTCCTAATTTTGTCTTCCATTCTCTCAATGACCTCATTCATATCGATATATATATATATATATATATATATATATATATATATATATATATCCTTCAATCCCTCCTGACACATGTTTAACCCTTCCTCCTGTCTGTTTTTATATATATATATATATATATATATATATATGAATTCGATATTTAGTGGAAAGTGCTCATTATCAGCGATAGTGTTAATATATGGGGTTGCATAGAGAGTTGCTTGTGACCTTAAGTTTCAAGCTTTCGTGATCTTCAGACAAACTTCAGAGTATGAGGATCGCGAAACACTGAATATACTCGCATATATATATATATATATATATATATATATATATATATATATGTGAAATATACACATATATGTTTGTGTGTGTGCTTGCATGTAACTATGTGTCTAGACCAATAATGCTTGAGCACGAGAGAAATCAAATCATGCTTATCACTTCAGACCAAGCACACCGCCGTATTCCGGATCAGATAGAAATTGCGGCTGCGTTTGCTTCTTTTTTTATGGAAGAGCGCACCTTGCTGATGAACGGGAAGTCACCCGGGATGGGACAACCAATTTCCAAGAAGAGTTGAATGTTGTGTAGTCAGGAAGATGGAAAAAATTGTAGCTAACGGAAAGTACACAAGTCGATATCCGATCAGTATCTGCAGGGTCAACTTGGATTGGGTGTATGTACTGATGATGTGAACTAAAACATCCAACTGATGTATTATTACGAAAAAAATGAATACAATATAGATTATATATATATATATATATATATGCATGTATTTATCTATTTCACTCTATATGTATATCTCTCTCTGTTATCTATCTATCTATCTATCTATCTATCTATATATATATATATATATATATATATATATATATATATATATATACACACACACACACACACACACACACACACTGTGCAATGGATAAATTGTCGCCATTTCATAATTTTACTCGCTGATGGCACATGGCACAGTGGATAAAGGCGTTATTTAGATCCAGTGGCAGGATTCAAAGAGTGTGAGGTCAATACCTGGTTAAGGCAGTGGGGAACTTGGAGAGGGGAATTAACAGGAGATAACTGACATTTATTAGACATGGTACGTGGAACTGGAACAGTCTACCTCAGCGAGCGAAATAAAGGGTTCAGTTCGACATTCCAACCATCTGAAGAAGACCGGGGCGTACAACGGTCGAAAAGTTGTGATTCATATGTCAACAAAGATGAGGAAAATAGTCCGAATAATGTAAATAGTTTACGTAACAACTCATCTCAGAAATATAGACAGATATCAGTTGTCTAGGAGAAGGAGAACTCCGAATTCAAAACATGCAGAGGATCGTTTGGAGACCTTGTGGCACGTAGTGCACCAGGTCTCTGTATTCGGCCCTTCAAAAACTGTGGTTGGTTCTGCACAAATGCTTCACCACTGTAATCGAATCCTATATGCTGTTGTCTGTGCTGTCAGTTCCTAGGAAATGAGCTGCTTGAAACTCATACATTGAATACGACGGGAGAGTCCAGCATATATATATATATATATATATATATATATATATATATATTCGAAATAATAATCTTTGAAATAAATTTTATCAGTTTATACACACACCCTCCTAGCACATACCTATTATGGAAACATCCCCCTTAGATATCTGCTAGAGTGGACATATATACTGTTTCCACTGCTACTACTGATGAAATATGAGCTCGTATCATCATCGGACCTTACGAACAGCGTAACTCTTAACATTCGTAGTTATTTTACTAGCTTATTTTTTTGTTTCATATGTGTAAATTTAGAGAGTATTTTTCTTTTCCAGTTTCTCTCACATAACATTCCTTCAGTCAATTAAAGAAATTAAAGATTTTCGGGAATCAATTTAATTTAATAAATCATATTTTGCCTGAGACGCACAGAACCTATTTTGTTTCGTTTTTGCTATCGACTAAAACGGTCTTAATTTAATTGAAGAAATCTGTTAATATATCAGAATAACGGGTGAAGAGTTAGTGATACTTAATCAATGTTGCCGATCGATTATCGATTGATTTCAGCATTGAGTAAATCATATTAATTTAAATCGTAGATCATATTAATACAATCATAATCTTGTCATATAGCTATATTTACGAGCTACACAATTTATCATAAAATATTTTAGATTTATGGACAATATATGAACCCATTTTCCTAGGTCAGCATTTGATATTAATTCAAATATTATAAATTATCCTGAGTACATTGTTGTATTTTTCACAATTTTATCAAAAATATAAATTTAAAATTTAGTTTTCTTTATTTGTAGAGAAAATTCAACCATAAATAAATATAATCATCCATTTAAATAATGTACTTGTACTTATTTCCCTATATATATGTAAATCTAATCGTAATAAATTAATTTTTCTGGATAATTTTTGTCGGATCATTTGTAGGTTCGGTCTGTTTATTACTTAGGATTTCATTACTGCATTGTGATGTTCAAGAAATTTCTATATTCTAAGATCCGTCCATTATTTAATTGGAAAAGTTGATGTAAGATTAAGTTAAAATAAATTTAACATTTTAAAGAGATAAATCTTTTCACAAGTGCAAATATTCAACCATAATCATTTTCTGATATTATCAGAATAACAACGTTGAAGTTCATACGGGTGAATTGAGAAAGATGCAAGACAAAGAATTAATAGTAATCACAACAACATTTAAAATTAAGTACAGGTTTATTTCTTTGAATTGACTATAATTATGATGAAGTCGCTGCTGATTCAAATAAATTGCATATTTTGTGCTTTCCTGTGAAATTGCATTGTAAACAATTATCAGCATTCGCTCGGAGAACATTATAATTTCCACTGGAAAGTGTTTAAGTTTTAAATATATTAATAAATGACCATATTTTCTACCGAAAAGCATCAAAGGATTTCTTAAAATCCCTGTTAAATATATCTTGATGGTCATGTTTTGCGAGAGTGTAATGGGCACACCCCTTTTACCAACTTCCGCGGTATGACAATATGCCGCGTAATAGACAAGCAAATCATTAATACTATGCAATGATTTAGAATCTCCGTGAGTACTGCAGGAAATATTAGACATATAGCAACCATTACCAGTATATAATATGCTTCTGATTTGTGTGTGAATATGTGAAACTCTTATTGGATAAAAAAAAACATTTTATTACTTGCTTTAGAGTCAAATTGCATTTATTTCTAGACTCCTATAACAAAATAATTGCTAAGGTCTCCAACACTGCACATTTTAAAACTGATTCCCTATCTCAAGCAATGACCTGTCAAAGTGTTTAGTCGCCCTCCTTTTTCCTATTAATACCTATGTCGTCTATTCGAGCTACCTATTAACCTAATCGCCGTTTGCTAATTAACACACTTGAATAGCTTAAAGCATCGGCTTGTTGAAATTGAGTGGTTGTCTGTACGTCGGCCGGCCAAGTTCTAACCCGACTGACAGCTAATTAAGTGGGCTGATGATTAGCTGTCAGCACAAAAACAATTAAAGGATGTTTACGGAAGTCTCAAAACGCAAACAGTTCGACCTTCGATTTAAACAAAAAAAAATGACGCATGTAATCTTACAGGGCAGTTTTAATAACATTGGCTACAAATTGAGGGAAATATCAGCAAAACGTTTTCTTCTAATAATCATTTCTAAGGTTTAAGTCGCAGAAAATGTCATTTACATTATTTACTCTCTTAAACAGGATGACTTTACTGAAAGAACATTTGTCAGTCTGCTCACATCTATCTATATTTTCTACAGTGCGGTTCATTATTTACAAAGCCCGGGAGCTACTGCAGGTAGAGTGTTACGTTTGGAGGCCATTTGTGTGTATTGGCGTGGAAGATAACGGTTAATCCTAGCCTTGAAGAGGTTAAGATTATAGTAATCGTGAAAACATCCTGTTGGGAGTCGGTCCCACAGGGCAGTGGTTCGCGGTTAAGAAGCTGCTCACCGATAGAATATGGATGGAATGTGGGTGGTTTGCTGCTATATATTGGGCATGGCGGGAAGTTACAGTGAATATTCGCTTCGGCGGGACCAGGAAATGTAATTCTACCAAGAACTTTCAGCGGAAGTAGCGGTAGAGTAGCGGGAGTCTAGCCACATCCCGCCGGTGGGAGAGAGTTTGACGGCTGGAGAATAATTCAGCACCCACAAAGGCTTGTAGACTCTTTTGAACTCTATCAAGGCTCTAGAGTAAGGCCTGTGGAGCTCCCGCAGAAATGACAACAGTGCTCTATTTTAGACCTGATCTAGCTCTTGCAAAGTTAGAGAATAGCCGGAGGAGACAGACACTTACTAGTGTAATACAGCGTGTAGGCCATGTTGCCTGCATCCTCAGCAATGTACAAGGTCCAGTTGAGATCGGGTGTGAGTTTGCGTCCCAAAGGTATTTCCAATCTATCTATCTATCTATCTATCTATCTATCTCGTTGGCTAGCCAGATAGTTCACTTGATATCTGTATACAGCCCATTTTTTTTTAATATGGGCTAAGAATTGTAGAAATACCTGTAACACGTTTTATTCTAATGTATCAGTTTTTGATGATAAGAAAGAAATGATTTATGTACATGGGCAATCGTGTAAGTTTTATATTTTAGAAAAAAATGAGCAACGTAAAATAAAAACTTATTAAAGCTCTCTTCTCAAGCTTTCATAAAAAAAGAAAAATAGCTTTAAATATTGATATAAACAAATATAACTATCAATAATTGTGTTAGATCTGAATCTGTCACGTGCTCTAAAGAAAGACTATGTGAACCGTTAACCATTATCACATCTAATGTGTGGTAAAATAATACAAGTGATATTAAAAGTTTGTTTCTCCAAAATAAAGAATTACAAAGAAATGTGTATTTAGTTCTGCCAGTGGAGTCCAATTTTCAACATGGAATGCTTTCGAAAGGTGAGATATGAATCTATGCCTTAAATGATGCATTCAGGCCGTAGTATTTGAAACCGCGGTAATTGGAGACTGTGGTATTTGAGACCCTAGAATTTGAAACTGTCTTATTTAAGACCATGAAATCTGAGAACGTGGTATTTGAGACCATAGTATTTGAGGTCATGAAATTCTAGATACTCCTATTTGAAACCGTGGTATCTGAGAGTGAAACAAGCACTGATCAAATTGACAACACGTATTTCCGACTATGATGAACCCTTATTCACATGTCAACTTGATGATTGTAAACGGCTGCAGGTAAGTATGTCGACATCTATTGACTATTTATTTTAGAAAGTTTCAAAGATTTCTGAACTGCATGGTATGAGGAAAATATTTAAAGTAAAAAAAAAAGAATGAAGAAAGATTGTTTAAGTACGTCGGTCTAAATAGAAAAAAGACGTACGGTTCGATCAAGATACATATGTCCTGTTTATTACTCAAATTGCTTTTGACAAGAGAAGCAACGAGAATAAATTGTCCCCTTCTGAGATAGCATAAATTCGAAAAAAATCGGTAAATTAATCTCGTTATCCTGACTTAGGTTACAAGATGGGAGCTGGGAGATTTTGCTAAAGAATGGAACTTTCGAAATTTCGACTTTCGAATGTCTCCCCCAAATAAACAGGGTCGTAAAATAGAGTGAGATCACAATTGTGCCGAATTATACTTTTTACAAAATTATGCGGTGATGGCTCTCAGTGACGCTACACATTTTTTCCAAGTCCGGTAAATTAAAAAAGATGTGCCCGTCATGACGATTGTATAAAAGTAGGAGACCTTAGCTTTAAATCTTATAGAGCCTTGTGTTTGCTGTCGAAAATTTACTCTTGATTTATTTGACGTACCTTAGACTGTAATGTATTGTCTTATGACATGTAAAAGTTTATAATAATCTAGACTCTCGAAAACACAAGATTTACTTAAGGTTATTCCAAGATAACCAAATAAGCACTAAATATAATCATCCAAATAAGAACAAACAGTAAATATTAGGAGAAAAACTACAAAAATCTACTATAGCTCTCATTGTAAAGAAAGACTTCAAATATCTGAATGTGTCCTTATACGATTGAAACGAGCCAAAGGAAACCAAATATCATTGACCATAGAGGATGCCATTTATAAATGTCTTTTAAAATAAAATTAATTTTTTAATCCCAATTTGTTGTCAGATTTTAAAGGCATAATGAACTAATTAAATATATATTGTATCAATTGAATATTTTATAGGTACATATATGATGAACTTTCTCGGCGTCTTCGGTATAAGTGTCCAAAAAGTCAGGTCCTAAAACTGAAATGTCAGTTTACTCATATGATTTGATCACAGTGATATAGACTTGTACAGATTCCTCCTCACATTTCGGAAAGAAACGGAACAGAAACAACTGATGAAGATAGGGTGTCATAAGATCTTCAAATGACCCTTCTCAGGTTTTGAAATCAGAGTTGTCTTTCTCAGAGATTCTTCATCCATTTTGTCCTGTGAATCTAACGACCTCGTCTTCCCGATTTCTCATTTTCACTCATCCATTACACCACCAAAATTTTCTCGTTGTAGGCTCTCGAAATTATCATATTTGCGCAGTTTCGTATTCAAACATAAACAAAGCAATTTTCTAAAAAATTTAATGTCTTATTCATTAATACGGCATATTTTATCACTTTAAATGTTATTTTTAATGTATATTTGTATCTGAGTGGAATATTTAAAGAGTCTATGACGAAAAGAGTTTCACAAAGACACTATTCAGGATTGTCTGATCGACTAAGTTCTTAGTAGCTAAGGGGTTCTAGAGCCTGTCGGATCTATTATCGGTTCCCACTATACTCGGAGAAAGTTCTAAGTGTCCGCGAAAACACATATTCTTCATACGTTTTCTCAAATCATCAGGCCGGTAGACGAAAATAAATAAATAGTGTTATAGAAATAAGTCTGGTCAAATATGAGTATCCTCTAAAAAATATCTACTTCTACTGCCAGGGGGTAAAGAGGATGTTTGACTTTCGCGCCTAGTGATCTCAACGCTAACAAACACACACACACACACACACACACACACACACACACACATATATATATATATATATATATATATATATATATATATATTCGACTTTCCCGTCAAATTCGGCGTATGAGAGTCAAACAGATCAGTCCGTAGGAAACCGACAGCCCGACAACAGCACATGAGATTTGATTATATTGGTGAATGTTTCGTGCAGAACCATCCACACTTTATGAAGGGCCGAATACAGAGACCTAGTACACTAGGTGCAACAAGGTCCCCAAACGATCCTCCGCGAATTTTGAATTGTCCTTCTCCTAGACCAGTTGCCATCCAAGTCTATAGAACCCAGTCTGTCCTGCTATTTACCCATAGCATGAGGGAGAAGTAGAGGATACACCCCTTTCCCAAGGGTAACGTAAGTGAATGTAATGGACTCGACTGGAATTCGAACTCTGTTCTCCGATTCCTCAATCCAAGCCACTAATCATTACTCCACCGTGCCTCCTAATATATATAATCACTACTTGAGTGCTGATTAAAAAGAATGTGCTCGATTTCCAATAACAGAATGATGTTTTTACTAAATATATATATATGCATTTTCCTCACAGGTAGCTCAACCCTGAGCTTCATATACTATTATATATATATATATATATATATATATATATATATATATATATATATATATATATATATATATATATAAAAGTTTTAGATATAAGTATAATAATTCAGTGTCCGTACAAATAAATACTCTCTTTTATCTTTATGTTAATCACTTAAATTCTACAACTTTTTTTTTATCGGCATAATTAATTCCATTTCTCTATTATTATTTAAATATTTCTTTAGAAATAAAAAAAAATCACATTGTAAAACTTAATGCACCTCATATAAACGAGCAGAAATTATTGCCTGTGTTTGATGATACAGAAAGTCAAACATAAGAATGAGTACAGGATTTTCAAACACATCAGGTTTTGAAAAAAACTCAAAACCTGATGAACATCAAATAAATAAATCTTTTAAGCTTGTAAATAGAAAAAAACGAAACGAAATGGAAAATTAAATAAATTTCAGATTTCTTTACCACCGAATTTATTTTTTAATTCATTTTTTTTATATTTCCGTTCAGAAGAATTTAAGGGTAAATAAAAAAAATGACGAAAAAAATGACGTCAGAAAAGTTGATGTTAATAGAATTAAAAGATGGAAGCTAGAAATGATCGCAGGGAAAGTGAAACAAAAAGAAACTAATGTAACAGGGATGATGTTGAGGAAAGAAAGGATGTATAAGAAGGACGAAGAAAGAAAAAAGAACTTTAATTATGTGAAGAAGAAAAAGGAAAAGACAAAGAAGAATCAACATCATAATAATAGAATATGATGAAGTATTTAATAAAGGAAAATATGTTGAAAGATTTAATAAAGGAAAAGAAAGAAAGGAAGAAAATCTGAAGAAATAATATAGGGAAAAGAATTTCGGAATTAGTGATTCTCGTGGGAGAGCTTGCACTTGAAACCCAATAGATAAGAAGCATATATATATATATATATATATATATATATATATATATATATATAATTATTATTTATAAAAAAAATTATAACATAAGTATGTTATAAAATCACTACAAAAATAGCCATTTTGTTTCAACACACTCTGTGTCTTATCAAGTGATGATGTTGAAAAAAGAAATTTTTTTTTTTGCCAAAGCTGTATATAAATAAAAATAACAATAGTGACTGATTTATAAAGAGATATAAGAATAAACGTAAATAATGTAAGCACAACAGTAGATATGGTTGCAGATAAAAGGGTTTATATATATCAGTCAAGAAAGGAAAATCGAGGAAATGAAAGAGAAACGTATAATATTAGGGTCATTCAATAAATAAGGTGAATTTTTAGGTATAAGGACTTCTAATACAGATAGAAGCTTACTTTTCTTTTTATTTTTCCACATAGTCCCCCAGCACTGTCACACACTTTTCCCATCTGTGCACAAGCTTCCGTATTCCCTCAGCATAAAAATATTTGGACTGATGTCTCAGCCAGTCGCTCACAACACTTTTGACTTCATCGTCACTTTTAAACTTCGTGCCTCTCGTGAACGCTTTCAAGGGACCAAACAGGTGAAAGTCTGAAGGGGCAATGTCTGGACTGTAAGGGAGATGAGGGAGCAGTTCCCAGCCCAGCACGTTGATGGTATGCACCGTTTGGGCTGCTGTGTGAGGCCTTGCGTTGTCATGATGTAAGATGACTCCTTCTGACTGATGACCCCTGCGTTTGTTCTTTATGTCTTTCTTGACCTGCCTCAACAGTTCACAGTAGTTCTTCTGTCAGACTGAATGAGGTCATTGACTGAGTCGATCACCTCAGGAGACCTCAATTCTGTAGGTCACCCAAGCCTGTCTTCATCCTCAACACTGCTCTGTCCTTCTTTAAACAATTTAGCCCACTTGTAGACATTTATTTGGCTGAAACATGTGGCACCATACACAGTTGACATTCTCCTATGAATTTCAAC